AGGCCCTGAACCTCGGGTTCCACACCACATTCCTTTGGACATGTGGCATTTGTCATGTGGCACAAAGAGGGTTTAGGTTTTGCTTCGTGGTATTATCCTATGGTAAATCACCATAGGATAAAGGGTCAAAACCACGTGCGCTACATTTGGTATCAGAGGATGAATCTCGGCGAGTACTATCCAATGAGATTAAGCAACTAGTCTTGTTGCATATGCAGAGATGAAAACGATGATCCGAGTGGGTACACGTTTTGGTGCAAAGGCTTCGCAATTGTTCCTTAGGTATGTCTGCCCCTTTTCAGCACAACCTGGTGCCACTAAGTCTTGGCATGATCGATGAGAAAGGATTGTGCATATGCAACTTTCGTACAATCATCTACGTCTGCCGCTATGAAATATTTTTCCATATCGTAGACCTAGTCTTCCAAAACTTGATAGTCCCGCATGCCTCTGAAGTTGGGTGGTTTTGGAGGCTTGAACTTTGAAACTCGTGCAACCAGGGGCAACTGTAGAACTTCATCATCCTTAGAACTTGAGGAGGAATCCGGTTGTTTAGGCTTAGCTAGTTTAGCTACCTCAACTTCTTTCTTCCTCTTCTTGTTCTCCTTCTTCAATTTGCGAATCTCCCTTCGCAAATTCTCGATCTCGACTTCTTGAGCCGTACACTACAACGCCGCAGCATCTAGCTCTTCCTCTTTTGACTCAGCCTCAGTCTCTTCTGCAGCATCTCTAGCAAGAGTTTCCTCCTCTCGATTCGCCCGTCTAGAGGTTTCAGCATTATCAGCATGGTTCCTTTTCACCATCCCGCTAGCTGCATGCATGCCTCTATCAGTAACTGAACATGCTTACAACGTTCTTACCAAATGGTGTAATCCAACTAATCCTACACAGGTCGCTTCGGATTTACTAGAAAAGTCTCTGCATATGCAACTTGAGTCAGAAAATCTGACAAAAGTTGGATAGGAATCACTGAGACAATTCCTCTGATACCAAATGTAGCGCACCTAAATTTGGAGCCAAACTCCAATCCCGTTGCACTACGAAACGAGGGTCCGGTACAATCCCATGAGCACTAGCTTCCCATATCTAGCACCTACATGCAAAATGGTGTTAGACGGAGTCTGGCACAATTTTGGCATACCGGTGGCCTAACACGAGGAGGAGGGTACCCACCAACTAGAGTAGCGTGGAGCTTGAGCTTAGACCCAAGCCGGACGCAGAACAAGGAGTGACACAGCTCAGCGGGAGCCAAACTAATGTCTCAAGTGGTCAGACATACATTTCAACTACTATCCTTACTATACATTTAAACCCCCCCCCCCCCTCCCCCCCTTTGAGGAACACACGCTTTGGGCTTTCACCCCAAGCCTCTCTTAGTATCAAAAGTTAGTCTCTGGGACAAGCTCGAAACTTACTAAATATGGAATGACGCTAGATTGTGAATTTAGACACGGGATGAACACCATTGTGTTAAGGTCAATCTCTACATTCCGTAGATATGCCAAATAAGCAAATCTAGACACTTTCCATAAATAGCATTTGGGACCGAAATGAGACTAACACCAAGGACATGATAGCAAGGGTGTTTGGTAGACACGGTAAGGTATCATCTAGCGAATATTGAGGGATTAGTTTAAATATCGCAGGGTTCCCAACACTAGCAAGTGCAAGTCAGCATCATGAGTTTCTTGTCACCATGTCAAGTATGCTTGACTTAGTAACAACTTAGAATTTCCTTCCTTAGTGCCCTTCCGGTCTAAGTGAACATATGCTGACCAATTTCTCAACTAGCTTGGGTGGAGACCATAAAGGGTTCCAAAATTATAGTAAGGAAAGTGTGGGTGTAGTGCACATGGTTTTTACCCTTTATTATATGGTGATTTACCATAGGATAACAAAACCCTCCATGTGCCACGTGTCAGTGCCACGTGTCATATGCCCGAGGTTCAGGGCCTTGGGCCACTAAACGAAACAACAATGCCAAACTCCCAAGCCTGAAACCAAAGAGTGACAGAACCGTACCACTGAGCAACTCTCGAACATACAACCCAATGAGCAAAAGGACAGGAGCCCAGAGCAGAGTGTGGACCCAAAAGATTCATTTGTGTGGACATAGGAATGCATGAAGGGCGATCAGGTGTTCCTTCCACCTGCAGGGTCTGGAAACTCCAAGCACTTCTTCTTCCAGATTTCCAATCCAGATCTTGTGGTGGACAACAATGGTATCATCTTATGCCCAGGCATCCGAGTGCTGGTGGCATACGCGGAAAATGGGCATGTTGAGGAAGCCAAGTTTGTGTTGAATTGTTTGCCAGAGACACTTGCAGAACTGGTATATGAGACAAGTCTGGCTCATCTCTTGTGGTCTATGTTAAGCGCTTACGTTAAACATGCAAATCTTAGTGTCAGTGTATGACTCAATGCCAAAGAGAGATCTTGATGGATATACGTTGGAACACCTTGCTTGATGGATATACAATGACCAGGTATTTACACAAACCTAAGATTTTGTTTGACTCACTGCCACAGAAACTTGATCTCAATCCAGGAACCTTGGAGATGTTTTATGACCATGCTTGAAAGAGACACTGTCGTGGTGCTTGCTGCATATAAATTTGGATGAATCCAAGCTTGACAACTTGGAACACAAGCCTCTCGGCTTTTGAACCGCCTCAGATGCCAACGGTAATGCTGTCAGTGTGTGAGAGAAATCTCCTAGCTTTGACCATAACTTGTTCTCGGGGGCAGTTGAGAAGTCCAAGCTCAGGCCCTGAACGAGTCGATGTTGGGTAGGTTGAGAGGCAAAACTGTACCTCTAACAAGAAGATATTTCTGCCAGAGGGTTGCAGTGGCCCCAACACTCAACCGGTTAAGCTTGGCCTGCCTGACCAGCTATTAGCGACCACGCTTCATGTTTTTTGTTACAAAAGTTAAGCTTATCTTGTCTCTCAACCTAGTTTAGGGTTCAAGAAAGATTATGTTTATCATCTCTTTTCTATTGCTCATTGTCTTCGCACTTTTGCTAATTGGATGGGCAATCTTCCAGCTGAAAAAGAAGAAGGAACTTCGGGTTTTGATTGTGGGTGCAAGTGGTTTCCTTGGTAGCCAACTTGCTTTGGGATTGGCAGCACACAATCATCGCAACCTCCGATTTGTGGTGACAGGTTTGGATTTGGTGCGTTCAGAGAGGACTCTTCTTCTGGAGAACAAGGGCATTGAAGTGGTTATTGGAAGTGCAACAGATCCAAAGCTGGCCATGTCAGTGACGAAAAGAAAAAAGCCAAACATTGTGGTGGATTTTACACAACAGGAGCATAGCTGGAATTTAGAGGACAATGAAAGAACTATAAAGTCATTAATTGATGCGGCATGCAGTATTCCATCAACCCAAGGTTTCTTTTTTGCAAGCCCTAATCGGTTCTACATACCATCAAGCCGGTCTGGGGAAAAGCTGGTGGAATCTTTGGCACCAGAGCTACCATTTCCAATTGTGGAGTGGAGGTTTAGTACAGTTTATGGGAGATACGGTCGTCCTGACTTTCCATACTATAAATTTGTTGATCAGATTGTGCATGGAGCATTGGTTCCACTCTGGAAGCAACGGAAAGGGCGACAAAATTATATATACATTAATGATGCAGTGACTGTGATGATCAATAGTATCTTATCAACTCACAGCATTGGAAAGGTGAATCTTTTTGACATTGGGACACCATGGCGGCCTATCCCTTTTCGACGAGTGATTCAAGTTATTGCAAGGCTTACCAACAAGGAAGCTAAGGTTGAAGAAGCAATGAATTTTAATCCGCCACCCTGGGAGGTACCTTATGAACCTCCAACAAAGCTCTTGCTCCTTAAATCGTATACTCCATTTGAGACTGGTATGAGCTCATTCATAGAATGGTTCCAGCAAAATAAGATGGTTGTAGGTGTGAAGGGTGTTGTCTAGAAATTCTGACACTTTTTTCGTAAATAAAATTGACAGGGAAAAAAAACAAGAGTGGTCTAGAAATTCTGACACTTTTTTCGTAAATAAATTCACAGGGAAAAAACAAGAGAGATAAAGCTATAGCTACTCACAAAGATTTTTCTTCTTAGCCATTTCCTCTCTCTTCTTCTTCCAGGTTGAGGCAAAGGCTCAATCGCTAACATTACAAACTGCACGAATGCCCCTGCTAGATTGTTGTGTGCTGCTCATTTGCATCTACAGCTTGTTGGAGCCGAAATAGCATGTGGTTCTTTTCTTGGTTTCTTCTCTCAAACATCCTGTTTATTCCAGCAAACACTTGTTCTTTTTCTTCAATCGAGATGTGCCTTGGCAGAGGAGTTCTTCTGCGAGTGGCTTGAGATAGCAGCTCATCTGTTCCTATTGAATCATGGTTACAGCTTGCGAAGAACAAACCTTGCGATAGAACACTCCATGCCACATCAATCAATTGTCCTCTAAAGTTATTCTTTAGTGTTTGCTTCAAATATTAAGAAATGGATTATTAGCATTAAGCCTTGATTCCAATGATTGAAAAATATCCTAGAATATTTTTAATATATTACAAGTTTAGGCTTAAAAACTTTGTAATACACCTCACTTAAAACCTTTAGAACTTCTATGCTCAAGATCACTGTGTTTCCATAGCTGATCATAAACCATTGCAAGATGCCCTTTTAAACTAGCCAAGCACTCAATGAAAACCAAACACTCAAGGGACTTGCAAACACATTTATATTGACTACTGAAAGCTTTATTCCCATAGCTAATCATAAGCTTAAGAGATTCTTCACTATAACACTCTCTCCTCTCTAAGGGAGGTGTAAACTTCTTCTTAAGAGCCAATACACATGGTCAAAGGGTGAGTCCTGGTTTATCCCTGAATTTCAAACTCTTGCCTTCAAGCCCAAGATTCCCTAATTGATTCCTAATGTTCTGGCCTATAAATCATGTTGTAGTTTTGCATTAAGCCACAGCCCTTAAGGCTTAGATTAAACCCAAGAATGGCACCAAGTTTTTCGTTGATTGTTAAAGCATATTTTCTTTTGATCTTCCATACTCTTTTTTTATCTTGTTCATCCCAGCTTCTTGGAGCTATGGAATACATTGAATTTATCCTCAGAGCTCTTCACAATTGAAGTGTGAAATCACACAGCTTGCGCAACATCAATACTTCTAACTTAATTTCTTATGTGAAAAAAACGAGAAGCGTAAGAATCATAAGCAGGATGACTAGAGCAGCAATCAAGCACAGCTGACCTTTCAGTCCGGCCTTTTTCAGTACGTGCGCAAGTCGTTTCTACAGACACAGTGGGGGTTTAGACTCGCTAGTGTTTTGTAAAGACATTTACCTGAGCTAACTCCATTCTATTTGCTGTCCCGTCCATGTCTTTGTCAAGATCGCTCACAATCTTTTCCTGGTACAAAGAGAAAGGATGTTCATGAGGAGCCGAGAAAAGATCCATTACCTGGCTTGAGAGTTCCTCGTGAATGGTCAGTCCCACGTCGCCAATTCTCACAACGCTAGCACTGATCTCGTCCAGATCTTCATCTTGATCTCTGCAGACAAACAAAGAAAACTTCCAATCAAGAAAGAGCTTTCGGCCAGTGGAAACTCACTTGAGAATTAACGCCTGACGCTCACTCTCCAGGGAAAGGAAATCATCGTTGCCTTCCATCAAACTCCGGTTGGCCTTCGGACCAGGACGATCATCTTCCATTCTCATGAGCTCTCGTCGTGTGGAACTGGCATTGCTTGTTCTTCCGTCATGCAAAGCTTTCCTGATAGTATCAATCTGGAAGGAACAAAAAACCACATTGTCTTCTAGGAAGAAGAACACGAAAGAAAAAAAATACCGTGTCATGTGTAGCAGTGGACCATTTCCTTCGTCGTCCAATCTCGGCAGCATCGATCCCAAACCGCGATGGATCCCGCTCGGCCACGGCGATGGCCTTATCCAGCTCGTTCACCTTGACAATCCAAAACAGTGCTCCTCAGCTCAGACAAAGATCTGCATAGCCAAAGCTCGATAGTCTCGAATCTCAAATTGCTCCTACAGTACCTGCCATTCCACGCTCTCGATGCCCGCAAGAAGATCTCGCTTCAGCGACGCCCGCTCGCTCGCCCCCGTGCTCTGCTTCTCCCATGTCTCGAAATTGCCCTCCACTTTCTTCACCTGTGGAAATTCGAGGCGAGCGAGCGAGATTGAGTGGCCGATTCGAGGAGACTCACCGATTCATCGATCTCCTCCTTCACCAGGTAGAATGGATCTGCTGCCGACATGACCCCGCTTCTCCTCCAAAGCCCTAAATCTAGTTTGTAACGAATATGCTATTTAAACTCTAGGGTTCTTCCGCCCCTAGATTGTCAAACCAGCAGTGACTTGATTCTCGCGACAAATGCCTCGAGATTCTTCTGAGAGCTTCCACCCTGAGCAACAGCTCTCCTCGCCTTGGCTTGGAGCTCCTTGGCTCGGCTCTTCATCCCTTCCGCCCGAGGACTCTCCATGATTTCCCTCACACCTCGTTCCACCTCGTCGCGATCCACGAATCCATCGTCGTCGCCAAGAACTTCGGCTCCAATGCCGAGGCCATCGACCAGATATCTGCAGATGGGGGGCTGATCGGCGAGGAAAGGCCAGCCGATCACCGGCACTCCAGCCAGAGTTATAACTTCCAGCGTCGAGTTCCAGCCGCAGTGCGTGAGAAATCCTCCCAGCGACGAGTGAGCGAGTATGAGATGCTGCGGTGCCCAGCCGGGCAGCACGAGGCCCCGCTCCTCGGTGCGTTTTAGAAATCCCTCTGGAAGTAGAGCCTCGAGCTCCTCGATCGACTTGTTCTCCACGGGCACCACCCAGAGGAATCGCTGCTGGCTGGCCTCCAGCCCGAGAGCGAGCTCGCAGATTTGCCGTGGAGTCAAGAGCGCCCAGCTTCCAAACGAGACGTAGAGCACAGACTCCACAGGCTGCTCGTCGAGCCAGCTCTGGCACCTTTCTTCCTCGGAGCTCCTCAACACCGAGGATTCCTTGGTGGCGTTCAGTGCGTCTGGAGTGAAGTACTTCGATGGGAAGAGCGGGCCGATTGGAAGAAGCTCGTGGTGCTTGATCTCCTCGAAACTCTCAGCGAGTGCCTTGAAGATCTCGGGCTCCAGTTCCGTGAAGCTGTTGAAGAGGATTCCATCCGAGGAGAAGATGTGCTCGTTGAATCCCATATGAATGGGATACAAGCAGTGAGAATCATCGGTGATGGCGTCGTGGACGTCTCTCCGATACAAGGGAAGCAATCCTTCCACCTTCATGGTCTCGAATCCCGGAAATTTGACTGGGAGGAGTTTCTTCCTGTAGAGAGATCTCGCGTGGATCGTGAGAGCGAAGAAGCTGGGTCCGGCCGTGTAGAGGATGAATCTGGGGAGACCACTCTTCACTAGCGGTTCCTCGCTCCAGTTGAGAAGCAAGTCGACGATCACGCAGCAAGGGGGCGACGAACTCACCTTAAGTTCCTCGAGCAGGGCCGCGAGAGCGATCTTCTGCAGCGAGAAGTCACTGGGCCACTCATACCCGCTTCGAACCGCAACGCGAAGTCCCTCCATCATACAGCCCTGTTGATCTTGCTGCTCTTGGCCGTGATCTTGGAGTGGAAGCTTGGTTAGAGTGATGGGCAGCCCTTGGAAATCCGTGGAAGCCACCAGCGAGAAAGAGGCCGCGTCTGGAAGCACCAGAGTGATGGATAATCCCATGGAAGCTAGCTTCTTAGCGAGCGTCATGGCTGGACTAATGTGGCCTTTGCCGCGAGAGGTAAGGAGAAGGACATGGCGACCGGAAATTTTCCCCGAATTCTCCATAGCTGTGCCTCTCTCTCACTGAAGATGGACAAATAGAAGCCACAGGAATCAATGCTTAATTAAGTTTTCTCTCGGGCTTTGAGCAAATAGGAAGAAACCAGCAAATCGGAAGAAACAATACGGCATCCATTGTCGCCAAATCTGATTCAAACACGCCCTCTCTCCAATGCAGTGTGTAACAAAGTCTGAGGCTCCTTTGTACCCCGCCGGTACCATTTCAGAATTGCCAGTACAAAACAAAGTTACAAGGATATATGACCGGTGCAAAAAATCTCATATAAGGCTAACGTTAGGATGTTATAAGGAATCCTGCCGGTACATTCACCTACCTTTTGAGGATTAGGGTTTCATGGTTAATTATGTTTAATTAATTCTAATTAACAAGATTAAATAAATAATCATCAATCTTAGTTAACACTAACTAAACATAGTTACACTAAGTAAACCATGTCATTAATCTAAGGTTAGAATATTCTTTCACAATGTTCACATGGGCTCTAAGGTTAGAATATTCTTTCACAATGTTCACGTGGGCGTGGGCATGGGCGTGAACATAGATTTTGGTGGGGAGATCATCTGGGAAATGGGAAGGGTGCCTGCAGGTAGGAGCAAGGCTGCTGCAAAAGCCATTGCTCAATCAAAGCAATCTTTGTTAAGTTTTGCCCCCATTGTGGAGAGAAGAGGTTTTGTAGATGAGGACAACCTAGAAGGGACTGAGCCTGAGGAGGGATGTGAAGTGGGAGAAGGTGATGCTGCATCAGTAGAGGAGAAGGAGAAGAAAATTCGTAGGGGGAAGTGGCAACCTGCATGGGTCATAAAATGGCGGTGGTTGCATTTTGATCAGAAAAATGGTAATAATTTTCTTGATTTTTCATCTAATCCTACTTGCATTACAGCACTGATCTTTTGCTCAATATGCCGTGCCAACAAGAATTGCAAGAATCCATTTGGTACATCAAGTTCCACCAACATGAAGACTTCAAGTTTCCATGCTCATGGGCAAACAAAAGATCACAAGCATTCCATTTACATAGCTGAGGTGAAAGCTGGCGGTCAATCCTCCATGGCAACTGCAAATGATCGGCAACAAGAGGCAGCAGAGAAGGGAGTTATTTGCTTGTTTAGGACTGCTTATGCTATTGCACAAGGTTTTGTTCCTCTTCGCAAATACCCATTGCTTCTGGAGCTACAACAGTTGAACGGAGTTTATGTTCCTAGCATATACAAGAACGTGATGGCCTGCTCACGCTTCATCACTTTCATCAACAAGGTGAGCTAAAGTCTGATGATAAACCTTGACTGAATTTTGTTGTGTAGGTGCTCTTAGATCAAATTTTGGAGAAAGTTAAAGCTAGCCCATTCTTTGGAATAATGCTAGATGAGAGCACGGATATAAGGTAAAGCTGATTAGTGATATTCTTGGTTCTAAATTTGTTAATGCAGTACCAGTAAACACCTCATCTTTTACGTGACCTACATCCACGACGCAAGGGTGTTGACAAGCTATTTAGGCTTGTCAATGGTGAACAATAGTTCTGCAGAGGTGATTTTTAACACCACCATAGCTTCACTGCAGGATTGGGGGCTGGATATGAGCAGGTTTGTGGGGTTTGGTTCAGACGGCTGCAATGTTATGACAGGAAACAGGATAGGGGTTGCAGCAAGGTTGAAGGAGGTCAATCCATTCATGACCTCCACACATTGTCTTTCACACAGAGCTAACTTATGTGTGGAGGATGTCTACAAGAATCCAGCAGTTCATAATCTTTGCGATGAAGTGGATCAGGTGGTGAACAAGGTAGCCAGTTTTTTCTCAAGGAGTTCTAGCAGGTTGCAGCAGCTACAGGCACTACAGGACGAGCTAGACTTCAAGGTGCTGAAGGTGTTGCGGATCCAGCAGACACGTTGGTTGAGCAGGGGTGGAGCCATTACCAGGATGTGTGAGTGTCTGGAACCACTATTCAAGTTTTTTAAGGATGGGAGAACAACTCAAACAAGGAAGCTGTATGACCATCTCAGGAGTTTCAAGTTCCTTTATGCACTCCACTTTCTAGGAGATATCTTGGCAGTGGTAAATCAGCTGAACCTGGAGTTTCAAGCACAGACTATGGACGTGACTAGTGTTGCACCTTTATGCAAGGCAACCATGGCCAAGATACAGGTATACTATTTGGATAAGCAGGTGGATTTGAATGGTTTTCAGTTGGATAGCAGAGGATATCCTATAATCCCAGATGGTGGACGCCGCAATGGTCCTTTGGATGAGCTCAGGTCATCAGTTAAGGGAAACGAATACAGAGACGTGGAAATGATCAGGTCGATTCACGGAGAAGATTTGGAGGAGGTACTAGAGTTTCAAAAGAACTTTGGCACTAGTCTTTTGGAGGGTATAAGGACCAGGTTATAGGACTCTGAGGCGACTGGTATTCTCTCCAAGTTCCACTTTTTAGCTCCTATCAACTTACCTTCATCAGTGCGTGAGTTGAAAGCTTTTGGTAAGTTTGAGGTTCAGGAACTTGGAAAGTTCTACACAGGGATGATCAATGAAGCAGAGCTAGTTGAAGAGTACAGTTTATGGAAGATAATAGCTTCCGAGGAGTGGAAGGGGAAAACTTTCGTGGATGTTTGGGGAATGATTTATGCTCACAGTATCTGGACGAAGAAGTATCCCAACTTGCTGAAGTTGGCAATGGTCGGCATGGTTCAATGCTGCAACACTGCATCATGTGAGCGTGGGTTTAGTAGAATCAACTTGGTGAAGAATAAGTTTCGAAACCAGATGGGGACGGAGATGGTTGACGAGCTTGTGAGGATCTCCATTGAGGGTCCACCAATAGCTGAGTTTGATTTCGAAACAGTGGTGCAAGCATGGAAGGAAGGTGCAGCTTATAGGCATATTTATACAAGCTAAAGTGACGGTTTGTAGATGTTTAACTTCCTTATAATTTTCATATATTAAGGAATTTATCCGAATGAGATTTCCTCTTTTAAGGATTATGCCGGTACAAAAAAAATATATCCTATTCATTTTAAGTATTCAAGGATTTTTTCCAGTACACTAAAAATACTTTGTTACACACTGCTCCAATGGCTTTCTCGTACACTTCCAGTATCGTGAGAAGCACTCTTCTCGGCAGTGCCAGAAACGGGCGGAGCATGTCGACTGCGGAGGATCACCCCTGGCCAAGCGTGGCAAAGTTTCTCGAGAGTTTTGCTTGCAGCACACAGCGGCATTTGACGCCATCATCTCGGGGTGTTCGTCCACCACGACTCAGCCAACTAGGGAGCTACTCGGTGCTCAATGGATCCATCACGGGTGGTGGCGTTGACGTGCTAGACTTCTTGAGCTCTCTTCCCAGCAAGAAGATCATGGAGCTGAGAAGCAGCGTGGTTTCCAGGTTGATATATCGAATGCCTGGTGGAGAGGAGTGAATGCTTTCGACGTGAGTTTGAGGGTAGGATTACAGGGCGAAAAGCTTTCATTTTTTAAAAGTTATTTCTTCACAGATAGTCAACTTTTGTCAAAGATAAAGTGGGAAAAGCAAAATACAGTCATAAACCTCATAGGAGGTGATTGGGTTATTGACTTTGACCTTAAAAGACATTTCCACACTAAATATTAACAAAATGTACCAAAACTAAACTTTGGTCCCTCTTCACAAAGTAGAAAGATGTACTTAAATAATTTGTTGTGAATGCTTGGTTTGCTTAATTTCTATTTAGTATTATTAATTGATAAATAATTATAGACATGTTTATACTTTATAAATCAATATTTATCATGATAGTAGAATAAACAAGAATATACTAAAAAGTGTTTAGGAAATAATATAAACTATAAATACAAAATTAATCTAAATGAATAATAACTGTTAGATGGTAAAATGTTTTAAAGTATTTAAGCATATTATAAATATATCCACTACCACCTCAATATCTTTATAAGTTTACTTAAACAAACTATAGTATGTAATTTGTAATTACAGTTTTGGAAAGTGTACCTAGGGTGGGTGGCCTACCAAAAAAGTGTGCAAACCTGTAAAATATATATATATAAAACACATATGTGCTTAAATTGTTGTAACAGATGTGTGACTTAAATAATATTTTTAGCATAACTTTTTTCTTATACATAGGCATGTATTGGTGTTTGCCATATATGTTTAGATCAGTACCATGTGTGTGATTTTTTGCACTATATAAATTTTAACTCTATACCAGTTTTTTTGGCACATCAGCAAAGTTTAGAGTTTAGGTTAGGGCTTTTGAGTGTGATATTTTTCAGCATATATGCTAAATTTTAAGTGTCTTTGGGATGTATGGGTTAAACTTGCTATTGCTTCATACTTGGGGCACTCTCCTTGGTAAAGGTAATGAAAAGTGTTTTAAAAGTGAGTGGTTTTGCAAAAAATGAAAAATGTTTTAAATTAAATTTAAGTGTTAAATTAAGGGAAGGTTACAGAATGAGGGATTTTGCTTCCTCATTTAGAGTGAACTAGTGTACATTGCATTAGTATCTCAAGATCGTAGGCTAGGAAGGGGTCTATCTCTTAAGAGTGTTGTTGTGGTTCAAGTGCTTCTTGAAAAGCTTCTCCCATAATGTGAAAAATTGACAATGTAAAGGATTACATATATCAATGGAAAACTAAGAAATATAAGATAGAGAGTGAACAAATAAATGATAAAAGCTACACTGACTCGTGTTTGCCTAGAGCATTGACACTAAGTTTCCCTTACCACATCAAAATCATAGTCTTGATTAATGCATTGATGCAACTTTTGTTTTATAGTATATTGCAAGTTAAAGCTTTGAGTCACTTATTTACACAGAATCATTAATGTTAGTAGAGTGTCTATATAATATTACACATTTGGTAGTGTTATTTTATATGCATAGGGAGTTGTTATTATCACCAACATACTTATGTCAACAAATAAAAGAAGACAAACTCTTTACAAATGTTATTGTAGGTTGGTCCAAATGACTAGGTGAGGGAGTTCAATGAAATAAAGATGGATATAATGAATGCATGGGAGGATTATAATGTAGTACTTTTGTGTTATAACTAGATGAAAATTGCACTTTTTTATATATATAAATGACAATGTGTTTATAGTGGATCAAACACTTTTTCAATGGAGGTGTGGTGCAAGGTAGTTTAATATTTCAAAACAAATACATGTGTTTATGTATTTGTGAAGGCATTGTATAAATTCAGTATAAAAGACTTCAAGCAAATTATGAGCATATCAATCATCCCTCATGTAAATCAATCATGTTTATCTTTATGAACATAGTGCACACTTTCACAAAGAGGCACAAATATTGCTCTACACATGTTCCAACAAGATTATTTTAACCAAATGAGTGGAGTGCAAGGTGGTGATAAGGTTTCAATTTACGACTTCTAACATGCATTTAATATAGTATAAATCATGCTTCTAACCTCAAAAGATATTATCACACTAAACATTAACAAAATGTATCAAAACCCAACTCTAGTCCCTTTTCATGAGGTACATATACAAAGTCTTTATATTGTCAATATATTTGGTGGTTTTCTTTTTCAGGAGCTAATAGGCCTTCACAACCACACAATGAAAAAGTAATGTAAAAAGCTTTGAGTTTAGCCACAAAGTCATATAACACCTCACACTCATGCTAGAGGTTGGATGCACATCCAATTGCACCCTTCTTACATGCCATGTATGTTATTATGTTTATCAAAATTGTTATCATATAAACTCCAAACTTATAAAGTGTTTTTATAGAAACCACTTGAAATAATGTTCACATCTAGATTATAGAAAAATATTCATTCTATCCAAAACTACTTCAATGCTCTTTATGTAAACCACTTACTAAAGAGAGGCAATTACTCTACTATATATCTTAGCTTGTGTACAAACTACTTTATGTCACGGTAGTGGTCCTCAACCTCTAAACTCAAGGAGCAAGTTGTCAGTTTTGCATTTTAAAGGGAAGAGGATCTTCAAGGCTATGATTGAGGAACTCAAATTATATATAAGGTTTAGTGATGCATTTCAAAATTCAAAACATACCAACAAGAACCTCACTTGCAAGTGTGTTTGTGTCAACAAGATGATATGAGTGTTTGGGTCTAATAAATTAATAAACTGCTATATTGTAACCATGTACCCAAGTGCACATCATTCATATTGCAAAACTCTCAACAATGCATCACAACATAATCATTGCAACAACCACTAAGCTTAAGCTAAGAAACAAAAACCTAAGAAAAAAAAGATTATGCTATCAATTTGTAGTGTGACAAACAACTGCAATGCCAAAACCACTGTGATCGATACCCTAAGAACCCAAAAAAAATATTATCTCTACACTATAATCAATTGTGCTCACTGCTATACTCTAATCAATCACACTTGGCATTGTGCTAGATTAGGGTATTACACTACAAATAGGCCACAAAAAATGAGAGGTGTGATCAATTGATTAAAGCATAGTTACATTAGGGTGCATTATAATCAATATACATCTCTATGCCATGAGAAATGAACCACAACTAAATGAGAGGAGAGAGATGATCATAATCAGTATATCAAAAATCTACACTCATAAAAATAAGATTTGTGATACACATCACAATCATGTTATCATGCATCACAAATAGGCCACAAGGAATGAAAGGTGTGATTAATTGATTAAAGCACAGTGCTTACATTTAAAGGTAGAGAAATGAAAGGAGAGAGATGATCATAATCAACACATCACAAATCTACACTCACAACCAAGCTACCGTCCGATCAACTCCACGAGATCAGATCTGCACTGTCCAACAACGCTCAATCTCAGCCAATCATCATCTCCACAACAGATCACAGCCCTCAGATCTTGGCACACAATCGCCACCGTTCAAACTAAACCCCACCAAGTTTCACGGGACACAAACCTAAGTCCCCAACAGCAGCTCGCCAGCACCCTTTCCAGCGCGCCACCAGCTCCAGCAACGATGCCCAAGCGCAAGATGAGAGCCACCCCCCCAAGACGCCTCAGGTATGTCCGCCACAGCTGGTATCAGATTTGTGATATGTTGATATGCCACAATCATGGTATCTGATTTGTGATATGTTGATATGCCACAACCACAAGAAATGAGCCACAACTGTGAGAAATAAGAGGAGAGATATGATCATAATCAATATATCATAAATTTGCATTCACAAGAATAAGATTTATGATACACATTACAATTATGTTGTCTAATTTGTGATGTGCTAATAAAATTTCTTTAATTAGCATATAGAATAAGATTTGTGATATATATCATAATCATGTTGTCACATGATCATAAATAAGCCATGAGAAATGAGAGGTGCGATTAATTGATTAAAGAAAAATGCTTACATTAGGGTGTGTTGTGACTAACATACACCTCCAAATCACGAGGAATGAGCCATAATTGTGAAAAATGAAAAGAGAGAAATGATCACAATTAGCATATCACAAATTTGTGTTCACAAGAATAAGATTTGTGATGCACATCACAATCATATTGTTTAATTTGTGATGCATCATCACAATAAGCACATCACAAATTTGTGCTGATTTGTGATGTATGATCACAATTAGCAAATCACAAATCTGTCTTAGTGTTATCATAAATTAGCAGATCACAAATCATGTTGGATGTGGCATGATGCTTATGTGGCAGCCTAAAGTGTCATGCCATATACATACATGGCATACCCTATGACAAAAATATTATACACACAATCACAACCAAACAAGAAATATTTAACATGATGGTGTGTATAATATTTTTACATGCAACTCAAAATAGAAATAGATTTGCATATGTGTAAATATATAATGATACCTAAATAATTCCTTGGAAACTATAATTATTAAAGGATACTGTTATTTTTAGATGTAAAGCAAAAACTTAAAATTATTACTGAATCATAATCATTTTGTTAAATGGAATATTAAAATTAAAAAAAAACACATAGTTGTATTTCTAAACTATGTACTACATATTATAAACTAGATTTTAATCTTGCAGTGCAATTTCTTTCACTGTGGTTCCATTTGAAGCACGTCTCTTCATCTCTTTTGAGATACCAAACAACAACTACTACTAGAAGCACACAATCTTTATCCACAAAATCCATTGATATTGGAAGAGAACACAGAAACATAATATCCTTATCTCATGGAATGCCCTTCTTGGAGCATACACTGAAGCTGGTCATTTAACTCAGGCTACTCGAGTTTACAGTTTAATGGTTACAAAATAAAGTTGATCTCTTCCTTACAAATGCTCTAGTATTATCGAACCATTAGTGACTTAATTCTCGCAACAAATACATCAAAGTTCTTTTGAGAGCTTCCACCTTGAGCCACAGCTCTACTTGCCGCAGCTTTGAACTCCTTGACTCGGCTCTTCATACCTTCCGCCCCAGGACTCTCCATAATCTCCCTCACAACTCGTTCCACCTCATTGCTATCCACTAATCCATTGTCATTACCAATAACTTCCACTCCAATGCGGAGGCCATCAACCAGGTATCGGCAGTTTGGAGCCTGGTCTCCAAGGAAAGGCCAGCCGATCACCGGCACTCCAGCTAGAGTTATAGCTTCCAGCGTCGAGTTCCAGCCGCAGTGCGTGAGAAATCCTCCCAGCGACGAGTGAGCGAGTATGAGATGCTGCGGTGCCCAGCTGGGCAGCACGAGGCCTCGCTCCTCGGTGCGTTTTAGAAATCCCTCTGGAAGTAGAACCTCGAGCCCCTCGATCGACTTGTTCTTCACGGGCACCACCCACAGGAATCGCTGCTGGCTGGCCTCCAGCCCGAGAGCTAGCTCGGAAATTTGCCGTGGAGTCAAGAGTGCAAAGCTTCCAAACGAGACGTAGAGCACAGACTCCACAGGCTGCTCGTCGAGCCAGCTCTGGCACCTTTCTTCCTCGGAGCTCCTCAACACCGCGGATTCCTTGGTGGCGAAGTACTTCGATGGGAAGAGCGGGCCGATTGGAAGAAGCTCGTGGTGTTTGATCTCCTCGAAACTCTCCGCGAGTGCCTTGAAAAGCTCGGGCTCCAGCTCCGTGAAGCTGTTGAAGAGGATTCCATCTGAGGAGATTATGTGCTCGTTGAATCCCATATGGAGGGGATACAAGCAGTGACCATCGTCGGTCATGGCGTCAGGGACGTCTCTCCGGTACAAGGGAAGCAATCCCTCCACCTTCATGGTCTCGAATCCCGGAAACTTGACTGGAAGAAGTTTCTTCCTGTAGAGAGATCTCGCGTGGAGCGAGAGAGCCAAGTAGTTGGGCGCGGCCGGGTAGAGGATGAATCTGGGGAGACCAGTCTTCACTAGCAGCTCCTCGCTCCAGTTGAGAATCATGTCGACGATCACGCAGCAAGGGGACGAAGAACTCACCTTAAGTTCCTCGAGCAGGGCCGCGAGAGCGATCTTCTGCCGCGAGTAGTCACTGGGCCACTCATAGCCGCTTCGAACCGCAACACGAAGGCCCTCCATCGTCCAGCCTTGTTGATGTTGCTCCTCTTGGCCGTGATCTTGGAGTGGAAGCTTGGTTAGAGTGATGGGCAGCCCTTGGAAATCCGTGGAAGCCACCAGCGAGAAAGAGGCCGCGTCTGGGACCACCAGAGTGATGGATAATCCCATGGAAGCTAGCTTCGTGGCGAGCGTCAAGGCTGGATTAATGTGGCCTATGCCGTTACAGGTGAGGAGAAGGACATGGCGAGTGGCAATTTTCTCCGCATTCTCCATAGCCGAGACGACAAAGAATGCTAGGGTTTAAAAATGTGTTGGCGGACTTTAGATTGAAATTAAAACCCAGCTCTGGATCACAGGAATTAGGGTTCTTGGCAGCTCAGAGAGAAATTCCTAGCTAGGGCGCGGCAGCGGGTCAGTCCATCGATCGATCGGCCGCGGCGAGAATGTTCCGCAATCAGTACGATACGGATGTGACGACATGGAGCCCGGCGGGGCGGCTCCATCAGGTGGAGTATGCTATGGAGGGCGTGAAGCAGGGAAGCGCGGCAGTGGGGCTCAAGTGTAAGACTCATGTTGTTCTGGCGTCGGTGAACAAGGCGTCGTCGGAGCTCTCCTCGTACCAGAAGAAGCTGTTCAAGATCGATGAGAATATCGGCGTGGCTATGGCGGGGATTATCGCCGACGGACGAGTGCTGTGTAAGTTCATGAGATCCGAGTGTATTTACCACCAGTTCGTGTTTGAGGCGCCTCTCCCCGTGAGCCGCCTCGTTGTTCAAGTGGCAGACAAAGCCCAGGTGAGATCTTCTTCCTCCCATTCTTCATTGCATTTCCTTCTTGATGGTCCTTATCTTCTTGCGTGCTCGTCACTCCAGTTTCTAGTTCTAGCTTGTTTGAGCGATCTTTCTCGCTTTTTCTCAGCTTCCTTGATCTTTTCTCTTTTTTGTCTGCTTGGTGATTTCCTTGTTTGAGTTTCTAATTCATCTCTCCATTGCATTTTTCCAGGTTTGCACGCAGAGATCTTGGAAACGACCATACGGCGTTGGCCTGCTCGTAGCGGGACTCGACGAAGCTGGTCCACATCTCTACTACAATTGCCCGTCCGGGAACTACTACGAGTACTACGCCTTCGCAATCGGGTCGCGCTCGCAAGCCGCCAAGACATACTTGGAGAGAAGGTTTGAGACTTTCAAGGACTGCTCCCGGGACGAGCTCATCCGCCACGCACTCCTGGCCGTCAAGGAGTCCTTGCAGGACGAGGAACTCAAGAGCACCAACTGTGGGATTGCCGTCGTGGGAGCCGACGAAGACTTCCACATCCTCGACGGCGAGACTCTCCAATCTTTCATCGACACCTTGGAGGACAACAAAGCCGAAGCCAAAGAAGCAGCTCCAGAGGATCCCGCGTCTACTTCCGGTGGTGGTGAAGCCGGTCCCAGTGCAGGAGCAGCAGAAGAACCACCGGCCGAGGCGACTCCAATGGATATGTGATTCACACACGGACGGCATCTTTCAGATCAGGGACTTAACTTTTTTCTTTTGATTCTGGTTATATTTCATACATTTTCTTTCTTCTTGCGTGCTTCTCTCAGGAAACCCGGACACGCCTCCAAAGCGTTTCTAGCCGATTTCCTTCTTCTCTGAACTTGAGAGCTCCAGGCCAGTTCTTTTGAGCAATCTGTTTGCTAACGCTTTGTTGACGCCTCTTCCAGTGGCGGCCTGGAAATAAATGTTGGACAGCAGCAGATAAGACGCCTTTTGCTGAGGATCCAAGTTGAAAGCCCGTGCCGCGACTCTCAGTCCCCTGGCTACATCGCCATGGATCTTACAAGCTCCAAGCAGCGTGATCCAGGCGACAGCGTCAGGCTTGCAAGGCATCAACTGGATCAACCTCTCGGCAACGTCCAACTGTCCGGCCTTGCCAAGCAAGTCGATCAAGCAAGTGAAGTGATCCACGCTCGCGGCTATTCCGTACTCACGGGTCAGCACTTCGAAGTAGTAACACGCGTCCTCCAAGGTTCCTCCGTACGCCGAGGCCGAGAGGATTCCCAGGAAAGTTATATCGTTTGGAGAGACCCCTTCCAGTCCCATGGTGTGGAAGAGCTCCATTGCTTGGCTTCCAAGCCCGGCTTGTGCGTACGCCGAGATCATCGCGTTCCAAGTAACTTCATTCTTGAAGCTCATCTTGTCAAACAAGAGTTTGGAGTTTTCAAGAGTGCTACACTTCCCGTACATGTGGATGAGGGCATTGGCGACGATTGGAGTAGTCTCGTAGCGCTTTTGGATTGATATCGAGTGGAGGAGTTTGCCATCAGCAAGGCCATTAGATCCGGCACAGCAGTCGATCGCGATTGCGAGTGTGGTGTCGAGCACGCGGTAGCCTTCGAGATCCATGGCTTTGAAGACAAAGATCGCGGACTTTGGCTTGTTGTTTTGGTTGTAGGCGACCATCATTGTGTTCCACGACACCGTGTCTCTCTCCGGCATCCTGGAGAATGTCTCCTCCACGTCAACGAGCTCCCCGTACTGCGACAGCGCCGCCAACATTGCGTTCCAGGAGACCACCGTACGGCTGGGCATCTTCTCAAAGAAATCCTTTGCTTGCTCCAGATGCCCGTTTTGGGCATATGCCGAGACCATTGCATTCCAAGCCGCCGCGTCCCTACGGGGAATCCGGTCGAAAATTCGTCGAGCCGAGAGAATATCCCCTGCTTGGGCATATGCCGCCACGAGAGCGGTGTAAGAGACGACGTTCGGGTTGGGCATCTGGTCAAAGAGTCTTTGGGCCCGTACGACATCACCGGACTGTCCATACGCGGTGATCATAGCTGTCAAGGTGTGAGAATCCTGCTGTGGCAATTGATCAAAGAGAAGTTTTGCTTGGAAAAGATGCCCTTGCTGGGCATTTACAGCGATAAGAACAGTGAAAGCGATTAAGGTTCTCTCAGGCATGGTGTCAAAGATCGCAGTGGCCTCGGGCAGTTTTCCGCACTGAGCGTATGCCGTGACCATCGCGGTCCAAGAAACAACGTCGCGCTGCGGCATCGCGTTAAAGAGCTTTCTCGATTCGTGGATATGCCCGTTCTGGGCAAATGCTGCGAGCATCGCGTTCCAGGAGACAACGTTTCGATCGGGCATGGTGTCGAAGATCTGCTTGGCTTCGTAAACACTGCTGTTTTGCGCATATGCAGCAATCAAAGTGTTCCAAGATGAAACGTCGTGATCAGGCATTCGATCAAAGACGACCTTTGCTTCGTCTAGATGCCCAAGTTGGGCATATGCCTTGATCATCGCGTTCCAGGCCACCGCGTCCTTGTGGGGCATTTGGTCAAAGACCCGTCTCGCTCTGGCGATCTCCCTGTTTTCCGTGTATATTCCCATGAGAATCGTCCACGACACGATGTTTGGGCGTTCCAGGCGATCGAAAACTCGCTGGGCTTCGTCCAGGCTCCCGCATTTGCCATACATTTCCACCAGCAAATTCGCGAGATGGCGGTCGGACCGGTAAGCGTCGCCGGCGAGGATGTAGCTGTGTACTCTCCGTGTTTGTGAGAGATCTCCCCTGCACGATCGAATGAGCTGAGCGAGAGAATCCACAGAACTCCCATTTTGCTGGAGAAATCTGGCGATGCTATCGTGCGAGGAAGAAGAAGATGGGAATGCCCTCGTGTTGTGAATCACTGAAGAGCAATTGGCAATAGCGGGCATAGATGGCGCGATTGGACCGAGGGCATAGCGTCGGAAGCTAGATTAGATGAGATGGCGATGAGATCCCAATGTGGGCGATCGTGATTCTAGCAGTGGCTGCCGATGGAGATTCCTCCAATTCCATTTTGATCGCCAGGGAACTCCTCCGCGACGTCAATCACAAGAAGCCGAGCACCGAGAATCGTTCTAGCCCCTCTTCTTTCCCCGATTTCTACACCCACGCGCTCAAATCCTGCAAGGATCTCTCCCATGCCCGGCAAATCCACGCAAAGATCGCCGGCGGCCAGCACAGGAAGAACCGATACCTCGCCAATCTCATCATCCAAATGTACGGTCGATGCGGTAGCATGGAGGAAGCGCGCGGCGTTTTCGACGGCCTGGATGAGCCCAATGTTTTCTCCTGGACGATCATTATTGCGGCATATGCCAAGAATGGGCATCTGTACGAGGCGAAGTGTTTGTATGATGTTATGCCAGATAAGGACGTAGTATCGTCTAACTCGATCATAGCACTCTACGCACAGCGTGGAAACATTCGAATGGCAAGATATCTGTTTGATCTTATGCCGAGAAGAGATATCATATCTTGGAACTCTATGGTCACAGCGTATGCCTCAAACGGGCATTTGTTAGAAGCTCGGAGGCTCTTCAATGAGATGCCGGAAAGAGATGTTGTGTCTTGGAACGCGTTGATGAGCGGATACTCACAAGGGGGATTTCTTCGCGAAGCTCGAAGCTTTTTTGAATCCGTTCCTGATCCAAACATTGTCACCTTGAACGCTATGATCACTGCTTACGTCCAGGCCGGCGATCTCCCTGGAGCTGAGGAAACGTTTGAGAGCATGGAGTTTCACGACGCAGTGTCATGCACGGCCATGATCACAGGGCATTCGCAGCAGGGAAACGTCCGTGCCGCAAGAGCAATCTTTAACTCGATGCCAGAGAACGAGCGCGATTCGATCGCGTGGAATGCGATTGTGGCGGCATATGCACAAGTTAAGAAACTAGAAGAAGCGATGAAACTTTTTCTTCAAATGCCGCATAAGGACATGGTGTCGTGGAATGCAATGGTCTCAGCTTATGCCCAGGCAGGGTATATGCTAGAAGCAAAGCAGATCTTTGACGATATGCCCAAACACAACATTGTCTCGTGGAGTGCTCTGATTTCGGGGTATGCGCAAAATGGTCACAGCCGCCAAGCCATCAGTCTCTTCAAAACCATGGATCTCGAAGGCATCCAACCAAACGAAGTAACTTTCGTCAGTGTTCTCGACGCCTGTGCTAGCGCGGTGGCGTTTCTCGAAGGAAGGCTCATCCATGAAGACGTGGTGGCGGCGGGGCTTCCACTCAATCTTCAAATCGCGAATGCTCTGCTCGATTTGTATGGAAAGTGTGGCAAAGTGTGGCTTGCTTTGGGGATCTTCTATGGAATGCCTTACCAGGACGAGATCTCCTGGACGGCCATGATCGCTGCTTACGTCCAGGCAAAGCTTCCATCTCAAGCTTTGGAGCTGCTTCACTACATGTCCGTGGAAGGAGTTCGTCCAAATGCTGTGACTTACGTGGGAGTTTTCTCGGCTTGTAGCCACAAAGGATCACTGGAAGTTGGGCAAGAACACTTCGCTCGCATGCTTTGCGACTATCAAGTAAATCCCGTGATGGATCATTACAAATGCGTGGTTGATCTCTTGGCCCGAGCTGGGAAAACGGGAGATGCCGAGGACTTGATCTTGGGGATGCCTTTCGAGGCCGATATTGTGTCGTGGATGACTTTGCTGAGTGCTTGTCGAGTGAATGGCGATCAAGAGCGAGGAGCTCGGGCATCGCAGCAGCTTAGAGAGCTCGATCCAAAGAATGTATCATCGTTTGTTCTACTGTCAAACACGATCGCCACATAAAGATCAATTCTATCCGAATCTTTAGAATCAAGTGTTCGTACTTTCCGGTACTAGCACAATGATAAATGAATGACCACGAAGACATCGCATAGAGCTCCAAATGTTGGCGAAATTGTATGAACGTGCGGCCATGTCACTGCCCTACCAACTTTTTATAGAATAGAATGCTGTGATGACGGAGGTTCCATCTTTTATTCGGTGAAATCGCGACTAAACATTGACAAGGACACAAACCACACACATGGTATATGATTTTTCCAAAGGATCTCGTATAGTTGTGAAATGAGGAGGGTATAATTGGCGTAATGTGCAAGGCTTTTAAAGACTGCCAACCATGACAAGAAAAATAATTGTATCTGACGGCTGCGATTTGCGGCTGCGTGATGGACGGCATCCGTATGCTCTTGCCAGCGTGGCATTATCGACGGCGTCCATTCGCTCCTACTAGGAGTCCTTGTAGAGGAGGATTGCGAATTTTCTTCCTCCTCGTTCTTGCAGCCGCGCTTGCGCCATCGCGATTGGAAAGGGCGAGCTTCAGGAGGTGAGCTGCGGAGATTTCTCTTCCCTGCGCCTTCGATCTTGCAATGCGAAGCGCGCGGGCCTGCGTTTGTGAGGCATCTGGTCGAAATATCTTAGATCCTTTGGAAAATCTTCTAGGTCGTGTGATTTCTCTGTGATTCTTGGGGCGCATTGTGAGAAACTCGCCCTGTGACGGCGTATTTTTGCGAGAATTCTTTCCTGGTGTGTCGCAGTGGAATTCTAGAGAGGTCAACTAGAAGGGACACTCTTGTTTGGAAATCACTGACAGATTCTCTTCTCGTCTGAACAGGTTGTACTGTGGAGTGTGGAGCTTATACTAGTGTAAGAAAGATAAAAGAGGGAGCTCACGAGGAGGTCAGTGTGAAGTTCTTTTCACTTTTCTATGATCTTACTGGCTCTATGTTAAAAATTCCAGAATGTGAATTAAAGTAGCATCGTCTTGTGACTGATGGGGAAGTCACACACTTGGTGGTGGGATAGTCATATCAGTCCAAAGAATTCCAAATGGCTCGAGGACAATCTCCAAGGTAACTTGTTTAGTCTGTAAAGTAGTAGAGCAGCGAGATTCTTCTCTTTCTTTATGATGATGTGCGCTTTTATCCTTCGAGCAGATATGGATGCCAAGGTGAAAGAAATGCTCAAACTT